CCTTTTTCTCAAATAAATAAATTCAATCAAAAATAACCTTCAAATTACGAAAACAAAAACGTACAAAAAAATTAAAGAAAAACAAAGGTTTAATTCCTTCTTCAGCAACAATTTGTAAATTATAATCACATTAAAATTTGAACCACCTTCAGTGGTTAGTAAAAACGCATTTTTAAAGTCTTTGTATCAAATATGTTGTAAGAAATTACAAAAGGCTGCATGTTGTCCTGAGGCAACATTGTACCACATCAGAATATCATCCAGATGTAAAGTTGGAACACAAACAGTGTAAAAAGAATTTATTTTAATTTATAAGGTACATATTGGGATAAAGGTATGAATAATATTTACATTGAAATGCCACTGATTAATTCTTTTAATGTGCAAAATTAATTATAGTTCTAAAAAACTAAATGATTTTTCAAGTGTTTGCTTCAAGAAATTGATGTTTATAATGAATATATATTCTAGTTTTTGCATTAAAACATCCAGTTAGTTTGTTTATGGTACAACGTTGCCTTGAGACAACAAACTTCTATTCAATTAATTTTTAAGAAGTTTTTTTTTACTATTTGATAACATGTGTACCATAGAGTGTTAAAAGTATACTGTGTACTACACAACATTCTTGTTGTCATTATTTTACTGCATATCTTTCTTCCAGGAAACACGACTTTCATGTTTTTTATTTTATTTTAAAGTGGTCCTGATTGGATCTTCAAGCTTTTTGAGGGTCTTTGGTGGGCATGACTTTTTTTTAGAGAAATATTTTTGACGTTTGTTAAACAGTTTACCTCCCAAGAGTTATTCAGACACAAAAGAACCTCCCAAACTGTAAAGCTGAACCAGCACTCTGCCGACACGAAAACTTTTCCTGTCTCCTTTTCTCTTTAAACAATCGTCCGTCTTGTTAACCAGAACCTGCAGATTGTGCTGTTTTGTTTTTTTTTTTTTTACCAAGTTTTCCGGGCTGCAGCTCAAGGAGAGTGAAACCTAAAATCGTCTGAGACATGAGTTTTTGGTGACGCTGCAAAAAGACGCTTAAACCAGCCGTGAAAAATAAAAGTTTGTAAGCAGAACGTAAACCTACAAGCTGGGCGGTGTGTTTAAAATGTTTAAAATTTGGTTTTCTGTAGCGGCTCCAAAGTCAAACACTGTAGCTCCTGCAACAAATGTGTGGAAGGCTTCGATCATCACTGCAAGTGGCTGAACACCTGTGTGGGCCGAAGAAACTACAGGTCAGATTGTTTTGGGTGAACACGTCTTCTCATTATTATTTTTAAAATCCACAAATAACCATCAGGTCATGCGTTTCTTCCAGGTTCTTCTTCGGGGCCTTGGTCTCTGCGACCGTCGGCGTCTTTGTGCTCGTCATCGTCATTCTGTTCACGTTCATCGAACATTACTTGAATCCACACAACCTGCGAACGGCGCCACAGTTTGACCGTGAGTTACAGCGGGTAAAATAACTATTGAACACGTCAACATTTTTCTCAGTAAATATATTACTAGAGGTGCTAATGACATGAAATTTTCACCAGATGTTGGTAACAACCCAAGTGATCCATAC